GTCGAAATTGAAGGCAGTACGGATGACGGTGGCGGTAATTTAGCCACTACTGTAAATGTAATTAAAATTAATTAATTAAATAAGTCTAAATTCATATTTCCCTCCTCCTCCTCCTCCTTATTATCCTTGTCGTTGTATATTAGCTACAGTGACGGTATGTCACGTTTTGGTATCCATGACTTTTTACTTACATTACATTGTTATAATTAAATTTTTGAATGCCATACTTTCTGAAAGACTAGAACGGAAAAGAATCGTTATGGACCGAAAAAAATACGCAGAACGGAACCGTTATTATTTTTTTAGAACCAAAAAAACCGGACCCGAACCGTTATAAATATTTTCACGTAAATATAAACAGAACCGGACAGATATTTCATTTGGGCCCGGGTCCCTGGCTAGTGGTCATGATATAATCCCATAAAATTCTTTCTATATTCATTTCTGAGGTATTTGCCACTCGCCCTCATTATAATTTGCTCTCCTAAAGCATTTGTTTCCAAGAGGACGAGAAAATTCGTTCACGAATCACTGGATATCAAATGCTATATTTTCTTTGAGAGAGAGTTAGTTAACTCCAGGAAAGGATTTTCTGGAGGCGAACGTGTGTTTTTCTGTACTAAAACTTTTAATGCATGGAAAACATATGACGATACTTTAGAAATTATGGATCGAAAAATCAAAATATCTGCCAATAAATGTGTATTTGACCTTATTGGATTATTATACCTTAGTGTAACGGGCGATCAAAAATGAGTTGCTGTCGAGTCGCCTTTGGAAGTTCAAATTAAGTACGATTTCCCATGGAAACAAAAATTTCAAAGGTGACTCGACAGAAACTCATTTTTGATCGCATAGTACTAAGACTAACCATGCACAGCTAGGTTGATTCCTCTATGTTGCTAATCATTTATTCAATGCTAGTGGTGTATCGTCATGTATTCCGGACCAAGTAGGTACATGTACAGGGTGTCCTATTAACAAAGGCGACACAAGCCCTATCTTTGGAACCGTTAATTGCACAGCTCGGGGAAAAAGATTGTGTTAACAAAAGAAGCTAAAAGAAATCGTTGGAGATTATTTTAAAGTTTCTAGGTTTGCCTCTAGAGGGCGTACGACATGATTAAGTGGAACAATGATTTTTTTCCTAAATATACCCAAAAACATGCATAAAAAATGCATGCATCGCAATCTTGTATGAATTTTGCATGCAGCACTAGCTCATAAAATATGAGGAGTGGAGGAAAGGGAACACTTTAAGGACTTGAATGTCACTTCGGTTCGGATTATATTAACCGATTTCACATTATGGGTCTTATTAATATTATTAATAGCTCTCTTCATGTAATCAGATTTTACATTAATAGAGTATTTGTAGTAAATGTGATGAGTGGTAGAGGGCTAGATTTTACATTAACAAATTTCCAATGAAACGATGTAATTATTATAAATGATATAAGATGAAAAAGTGGAAATATCAGTGAAAACCGCATTTTGATATATCATTCCTAAGGGGAGGTATGGCGAAAATACACACATTCGTAAATTTAAACTGCGATATTCATCTATGTTGGTTTTGAAACACAAAAAAAAACAAATAACAAGCGATACTTAAGATAATAATATTAATATAAGTTTTTAAATTATGAGCCAGAAATAAATGATTCAAATTGTAAATCAAATAACTATAAATTAAATAATAGAACAAACAATCATTATGACTAAAATAAATGTTCATACTGTCTGCCATCATTTTCGATACAAAGATGAAGTCTCTGACGAGTAGTTTTTTTATGTGACATTGTATTTCTTTTGTTTCAAAGCCAACTTGGATGAATATGGCAATTTGGGTGAATGTGCATATTTTCGCCATATCTTTGTTTAAACAACATATATCAAAATGCGGTTTTCACTGATATTTTCACTTTTGCATCTTATGTAATCCATAATAATTATATTGACCCATTTGAAATTTTCAAGAAAACCTGCAAAGTTTATGTTAATGTCAATCCGTGCCCTCTACCACTCATCACATTTACTAAAAACACTATTCATGTAAAATCTGATCACACGAAGACCAAATCCGTGAACCTGAACCGAAGTTACATTTATAACTCTTTAAAGAGATGTTCCCCTTCCCCATCTTTCATATTTCATGAGCTAGAGCAATATGTGCTGCATAAAAATGATGCAAAATTTATACCAGATTGCGATGCATATATGTTTCTCTCTCATGGTCTCTTTTTTTCACAACATCTTTTTTCTCAAAGCTGTGCAATTAACGACTCCACAGATATGACGTGACCTTTATTAATAGGACACCCTGTACAATCAACGTTAGTGAAATATTGAGTTAATCACTTAGACCATATAGTACATGGACTGCTATTCGCCCTATGCTTTCAATACAAAATGGATGGTCACGGATAGAGGGCACTGTAGTCGTGGGTATGTGAATCTCAGGGTAAACTAAAGTCGTGTAAACACCACTAGGATCGCTTAAAGAGCAGCTTTATAGTACCCGCGTAGTACGGGAAGCTTTAAATGCTCTTCATTATTTGCTATACGTCCACAAATAAGAATAAGTTTGCTTTTTTTGGGATATCTAGGCGATTAATTAATTGACGTTTGTTAATTTATAGGTTGACAATCTCAAATCGTGTCTCATCGGACAACTTCGGACAGACTCGTTTACCCTGAAACTCACATACCCAGGCGATGTCCTTGACCATATTTTAGTTACAATTAGCAGTCCATGTACTATATGGTCTAAGGTTAATCACAAAAGTTACGGAAAAACAAATGCCACACAAAAAATTAACGGCGGCACTTTCTTAATTGTAAGAAACCTGAAAAATTTAATACTACCAACCCAATGGTGATAAAAGCACTGGTATTGTGGGACTGTGAACTTTTTGTGTGGCTCTATAATAACGGAAACCATAAAAATTGCTTCTATAATAATCACTATTAGTTTTTTGCATGTATCTCTCAAAATCAATATTCAATCAATTAAAATAGGTTGCTGGACCATTAAAGTATTAGTGTAGTAATGAAGGTGGCGGGGGGGGGGGGGGGGAGCTCTGCGGTGCACCACAAAAACATTGTTTTGCTTCATTTTAGTACTCCTTTTTCGGATATCAATTACAATACAGTTTTTTTTTTAAATTGCAGCTGATAATTAAAACTTTTGATTGAGACGTCCGATCGAAAAATTAATAAGAAAAAGTGTTTTCCCGAGAAATTTTGGTGCAGTCGATTTTTGGTAAAAAAGGAACTGCCTTTTTTTGAGCCCCGAAAAAAAATTGTCTCAGATCGACCCGGAAAAAAATTTTCTTATAGAATGTGGCCTGTAGAATCCATAATTTCAAACAGTTCCAAAATTGGGCTACTAGTTCAAAAGTTACAGCCCTTTGAATTTTCTTTCGAAATTGGTTTCTAGTCTATAACTTTTGATTGAGAAGTCTGATCGAAAAAGTACGAATTGTTTTAGGATTCTACGCACCAAAATTAATAAGAAAAAGTGTTTTCCCGAGAAATTTTGGTGCAGTCGATTTTTGGTAAAAAAGGAACTGCCTTTTTTGAGCCCCGAAAAAACAATTGTCTCAGATCGACCCGGAAAAAAATTTTGTTATAGAATGTGGCCTGTAGAATCCATAATTTCCAACAGTTCCAAGATTGGGCTTCTAGTTCAAAAGTTACAGCCCTTTGAATTTTCTTTCGAAATTGGTTTCTAGTCAGGGGCGGGCCAGGTGGAATTGCATAGGTTACGGGCCATTAAAGTATTAGTGTAGTAATGAAGGTGGCGGGGGGTAGCTCTGCGGTGCACCATAAAAACATTTTTTGCTTCATTTTAAAGTACTCCTTTTTCGGAAATCAATTACAACACAGATTTTTTTTAAATTGCAGCTGATAATTAAAAGTAACAAAATATACAATCCAAACGAGGCGCGTCGCCTATCATTGTATTTCATCACTTTCATGCTACGACAAAAAATGATAAATTCATGATTCATGATAAAACACTTCAATTAAAACAGAATTTTTTAATTTTTTAACAACCTAACATCAACCCCAATTAGAGAAACGTGTTAATAACTTATTGAAGAAGAAAGAAACTAAATACAGCACATCATACTTATAAATTTCCAACGGGCCATTATGACGTACAGGCCAGGTGGCAATCGCCATCCGCCCCCCCCGGGCCAGTCCGCCCCTGAGACTATTATTGCACTGTAAGAGATCTTTTTTCGTATCTTTTTCAAACACCCTTTTGTTACGGAAAAGTGCATAGATAAACCTGTCCAAATTCTTTAGGTGGATTGAATTCCTTCCATGGATTAATTCATGGGCACCTCTGATATGGAAATTGAAGCAAAACTTCAAGGAGTACACATTGCCAACTAAATTTGGGAAGCCATATCTTATACCCAAACACAACTGGTGGGCCAAATTACTTGGGGTTTTACACCTTTGTTACAGTAGAAGAAGAATGAATCTTCCAAGAAGCGATCTACTATGGACCAAAGTCTGCATCTTGCTACTTTCTTGCAATTCAAGAAAAGCTGTAGATATGTGTCTTTTCCACCACAACCTCTTACCCCTTATTAGGTAATAGGTAGATAATATCGAAACATAATTGAGTAATTGGCAATTTTACTCTTTCCAAAAAAAGACACAGATCTGTTCGTTTGGAAGACAAGAAGAAAGGTTGGTTACAAATGAAACTGTTTCCGAATGAACAAAATTACTTACAAGCGAATAGACTCGCTAAAAATAAGTTCAAGCCGAAAACGTGAGATAAAATTAACGATTAACGTAACTATTTAGTCTCCAGTTGACAATCTGTTTACTGTATTAATAAACCTCTTCGCTTTACTGTTCGAAATTAATTAATGTCGTCGACAGATCGATCTGGGAAAAAATTTAAAACTCCCCTCGACGGCGATTTTCACGCGCAGTTAAAGCGCCAAATAAACACATGCGACGAGCGGCGAGTACTCGGTAGTAAAATAACAGAATGCAAGGAGGCGGTTGAATGGACCAGCAGAGAACGTGATGATTTGATCTCGTCTGGATAAATGCAACAAACCGAGTCCAAAGGCAACTTGATCACAGTTTACCGCGCGCTTTGAAACTCGCTGGGTGCTTGGCGGCGCTTTTAAAATCCCGTTTGAAACACGCGCCGGGTTTCACTCAAAGGAAATTGTGATTTATTTTTTCTGGTGATTTACAATAATTAATGTGCGCGCTGTGTATGTGCTTTAATTGTGTCACACGATGCTAACAATAAAAGCCTAAGGTAATTTTCTTCACTTTGCTCAGAACTTTTAAAAATGAGGACTTGCAAAGGTAAGAAACGTGGATTTTAAATACACGTTTCCATGTGCAATTTTTTGGCATTCTTGCAACATTTCAAATTTATTCCTTTACGAGTGCCAAAAGGCATTTGTTTATTGCCTGCTGAAAATAGCGTGCAAAACTTGCCGATTTTTTGGAATTCCTACTAAATATCAAAATTTGTAAAGTTCCCCTACTCAGAAACGATTAAACTATGCACTCTAATTATCAGCGATAGTTTATTATAAAGAGTTATTGCCTTTTTTAATAAGCTACTTGTTTGCTTCCAATTAATTTTAGCCAAAATCACTAACTGCTCCTGGATTCAAGTTATTACAATTTTTCAGATGACCCTGTCCAGGTACTAACTAACATATTACAATTATTCCGATTTTATGCTCAATGTAAAGTGTTACCATGAACTTTGCATACCTACCTACATAATTTTTTCTAGAATCATCATTCAGTTTTTCGTGTCGCTCAATCGAGCGCTCAATATTTGCGGATTGCAAAACGGTGCACTAGCCCATAATAACTACACTATCAATATCTTTATCGGAGGAGAATGAACTATTTCCTGCCTTACGTTGCGAAAAATTGTACCAAGACAGCATTAATAGAAGAAAGATTCAATCATCGATATTCAAATTTTAACGTAGATACGAATGACATAACTAAAGGGTTAGTGCTTCGACAACATTACACGGTAAAAAGTGCCCTACTTTCACACATACATCGCTATTACAGGAAGCTACGTTCAATTACGCTTCGCACAAAATAGAACAATATACCACTCGTAAAAAACGTATTTTTTTCTGCAAGTTTCAGTAAAATAGTACTGGCAATGCTGATGCGTAAATCATAATTCCAGCAATAGATGCGCATACTTAAGTGGTTGGCAATAAATATGCAAAAATATGCCAACCATACACCTACCAGTATATGGAGAGATACAATTTAGACAAACGTATTATAATTCCCTACCGGCAAAAATTGGTATTACATTTATCAACGTTTCGAAAAACGAAAACCTAAAATAGAGGGTGGGGTAAATTAACTTTTATAATTATTTGAATCACTACTTCAAGGGAATGGACACGGATCGGTATAGAATGCTTTTTATGGCAGATTCGGGGGTTGTAGATCTAAATTTAAATTTTAGTATTCGATAGGCAAGACCAATTATAAAACAAATAAGAAAATTGGAATGCACAGGCAGTGAGATTTTTCCAGTTTTCTAAGGGAATTTTTCGGAGAAATTTGGTTTTGTCCGTCCGTCTGTTTGTCGTAGCTCGAGAACCAAAAGAGACCACATTTTTTTGTCCTTTAACTAATTCCACAAAAATCCAACATGACCTCCGTAAGAAATAAGAAAGTACTAGCTTGTAGTTTCTACATCTAGCGTGCTATGGAAAGGTGCCAACGGGGCTTCTAGGGAAAATGAAAACGACATTTTCAGTTTTTCTGTATCTCAGTTATAAGATAAGATTTTTCAAAAATTTCAAATGCGTTTTTTAGTTCCAAAAACGAGTAACTGTGCCCCTATTTATTTTCTATATTGTATCTTTCACCGTTACGGAAATCGTAATGGTGAGCCACGAATTTTAACCACCCTGTAAGTATATGAGCCGCAACAAAAAAATCTACAGAAAAACAAAAATACGTTGATACCGTATTTAAGGGGGACATTTTATAGGATGTAACACGAAAATGAATCAACCCTCTAATGGGAGTAGAAGCAACCCCTAAAATTTATATAGGGAAGAAAGGTTGAGCGACACCTCATTTTAAAGGTCATTCAAATGTTTTTTCAAAAATATTACATTTTCGAGTGTTCTTTATTTTTAGTGCTTAAAGTAGAATCAATCAAAAACCGTAAATAATCTTAATATACCAAACAAAGTCGTGTATGTTGCACCACTTATAACTCAAGAGCGGCTGGACCGATTTTCATGATCTTTGTTGGATTCGTCTCCGACCCGAATAGCGGAATAACTATTAAAATATAACAAAAATAAATAAATAAGAAAACTAATAACAGCAACCGTCAAATCAACTGTTTTCAATCGTACCAACCGACAAATTAAAAACTATGATATTAAAAAGTGATAGGTATAGGTTTTTCGCGATTTCGATTAACGGTAAATCGCGATTGCCGATTAAAAATACGCAATATTTCAAAAGATTTAAAATGTATACATTGCAATTGTCCAACAAATCTTCAACATGTTCCGCAGCGACATCTCTTATCACACAAGTCACAACGGATTTAAAATGTGCACAGTGTGATTATGCAACGAACCACAAATCAAATTTAAATATGAACTATTCTTATTCTGCACCACAAAAGTGGCGTCTGTGTCTGTTGCAGATTGTTGTCATAAATATTCGAATGTTACATAAATGAGGTCAAAAGCATGCAAAATCCAATCAAAAACTTACCCATAATATGTAATATCAACGTTATATTCGGAAATATCACCAACAGCAACTGCAGCTGAAACAAAAGCATAGTTAGTCTTTCAAATATGGATAGCTTGGGCTACAAAGACAGTGTGCCCATAATACTCCATGTGGGCCATATTTTTTCTAATTTATCATTGAGCTGATTGGTTTAACCAAACGGGTAGATTTTGCTATGGTTACAATAATTCTGTCACAACTGTGTCCAGCAAGATAAATTCATCAGCATCACCTTGGTTTCCAGGTTAATTTCTACCAATCCCAAAACATGGAGGATTTCCCAACTACCAATAGAAAATAACACCACCATATGACCACATTCATATTTAAATTTGTACGAATTTGTTTGACCAGCTTTCTCTCTGTTTTCTGAATCCCATATCCGAATCTAGTTTGAAAAAATAACTGTACAAATAAAAGAGCTTTTTGTATTGTTTGTTTTATGCGCTGAAAGATAAAGGTACCTAACGGTTGGTTAATTTCCCAACTAACTAACAACTTTTATTGAACAGGAAACCTTGTATTCTCCATTTAATATTACTATCACCGATTGTGATTTTCAATAATAATAATAATAATAATATAGTTCCTCTGCTTTTGAATACAGGTACCATTTCAATAACATCTTTAACCCTGCATAAAAATATCATTCGGTTTTTTCCAAAAAATGGCCCTCAACATTTTCTATAAGTTCCCTTAATTTTGTCCCCCTCGGGTTGGAATAATACTCTCCCGTTACCGTACTACCCTTATTCATATACCTAATCAATCATCAAAACTCCCCGAGAGTCCCAAAAATGGTTGCCATTATTTTTCCTACAGAAGGGGCGACTTTAAACGTCTTGCCACCATTTCCCTTAATTTCTAGCATTGTATTAAAATTTCCCCAAATTTATACAAAATTTCTTCGAATTAACGTGAAAATCAGTAACGTTACTTCATTATAGAAACTTATTTCCTTAAAATTTCCTCCAGATTTCCTCAGAATTTCCGCTTTCCGTAAAATTTCCTAATATTTACGTAGAATTTCCTCATTCCTTTGACAATTCCTCCTGTTTCCCCACAGAATTTTCTCTAATTTCTTTCATATTCTACATATTTTCCAGCTATTTCCTCTATGAGAGACAAGAATTGCGCTCCGAGTTGATCACGACTTGTTTTAGGGGACAAAGATTTCCTGTATTGCCTAAAAATTGCCAACATTTCCCTTAGTTTTCCCAACAGTTCTGAATTGCATTAAAATTTCCCCAAATTTACACAAATGAGTAACGACTTCCTTATAGAAATCATTTATTTCCTTAAAACATCCTCTAGGTATCCTCACAATTGCCTTTAGATTTTCTCAGAACTTCCTTCGGAATTACCTCTAGATTCCCTTTTATTTGCTTAAAATTTCTTAATATTTACCTAGAACCTTTTAAATTTCCTATTTCCCCAACATTTCCTTAAATTTCGCGAGAATTTCCTCTAATTTCGTCCAAGTCCTGAGTGTCTTAGCTATTTCCTATATGAGGGACAAGAATTTCCCTCATGATCAATCCCTCGATTTTGCCCACTCGCAAATAGTTGACGTGATAATTGAATGTCAATATTTAAGGGGTCGATTTTTGGGTCCATTTTAAAAAGAAAACTTCATATGGTAAAGTTTTCAAAAATAAATCATTTATTATTAATATACCATTATACCACTTTAGACATTTTAATGAAATTTGACATGTATGTACTTGTATCCAGAGGCAATTTTTAAAGTACCACATTTTTTTAATTTCCACCAGTGGCGTTCGTATGGAATTTCATATTGTCATATTAACGATATTGTCATGATCATGCAGAGAAACGGTTTTTATTTTTTTAAGCGAAAACCGTGCATCGGATTGAAACATACAAGGGGATCAAATTTGCTTAGAAATGATTGGGGATTTCAAGAATAATTTTTATTTTCAGAGAAAGCAGTGGCGTACCATCAATGTCTGCCAAAATTGGCATGTGAAATTCCGTACGAACGCCACTGGTGGACATTAAAAAAAATGCCTCTGGATACATAGTACATACATGCCAAATTTCATTAAAATATCTAAAGTGGTAAAACAGATATAAATAATAAAGGATTTATGAAAACTTTACCACCCTGTATCTCAAAAGCTAAGAAGTTTAGGACATAGGTTCATATGAAGTTTTCTTTTTAAAATAGGCCCAAAAATCGCCCCCTTAAATATTGACATTCAAGTATGAAACACCCTGTACATGTGATTAAAAAACAGCGTAATGAAAAATTTCACGAAAATTCAAAACGGCCCAGTTAGGGAATTTAAAAAGACCCCTTGTGAAGGTGACCACTAGACCACTATAAAGGGTGAATCTATCTCCCATGAACCGTTAATAAATCAAATATAAAAATAAGCGACAATGAACTTATTAAAAGCCGAGAGTAGGCCGTTTATGAGGGTTCTAAGCGATAGTGGTTGATCACATAATTTTCTCAGGAGATTCCATTGCACAAATGCACATTCATAAAAACGGTATGTCAAAGAAGTTTATTTTATTCTTATATGCAGAATCGTTTATACTGTTTATAGTATGTATAGAAGAAAATTCAACGTCCATCTTTTTAAGGGAATTGTTTCCTCGTTACATAGACGTATACCATATTAAGATTGTGAAGGATCTTCTCAAACCATTAAATTTAGGTTTGTTACTAGTTGTATCGTGTCAATGGTTTTAAAAAAGTTGGAAAATCGTTTAGTATTGGACTTTTGATTTGTATTACTTATAAAAAAGAGAAACCTTTCAGAAAAACTAGTTCTTGTCATAAAATATTTTACTTACGTATGAATAGTAATCGCATGGTAAGAGTAAAGACACTATGGTATGAGGTTTCATTGTATAAAGTTCACTTTTTTACTTGAAATCATTACTTTTCCTTTCGGTGATATGTTGTAGCTATACTTAGTCTCATTATATTCTAGGAAATTTAAGTGATGATGTAGAAGTTTTATATCTGATATGAAACATCAAAGACAGTTATCTTTTATACAGTATACAAGCACAGATTAAATAGCATTTTGTCTGTGGTACAGGTAGCTTCTATATTTACACATTCATTCGTAGCACTTTTCGATAACTATAAATGTGTTAATGTGGGCGACGCAAATATAAAAATTCTTTACGGTGGAAACACAATAAAAATCAAAATAAAGAAAATTATTACTTACATTATACCGTTATTGCAGGTTTTAGTTTGAAGAATTTACATAAAATACAATCGATGCGTACTTAAAATATTTATTTATTAGCTTGAACTTCATAATAATTATAAATTTATAGGGAAAGATGAACGGGATTTGATGTCGCTAAAATGGAGGCCACTCCAAATTACGACCTATTCTTTTGCTGAAGATGCAGTTTCATGAACGTGTAATCACTTTTATAGGGATATTTCTCAGACTACCTAGATTTGTTTGGTAACTAGCTACACTCTACAGAAACAGTTGAAATAAACCGATACCAGTTTAGATAACGATAACACATAGTTTTGCAGTGCAGGGTGCAATTAAACCCAAAAAAAACTGTAAGAAGAGTTAGCATTTCCACAAGCCAAAAAAGGATGTAGTGTCATTTTACTGACAGATTTTGTGTTACATCGTAAACGAGGTGATATTCCAACAAGACGGGGCTCCTCCTCATTTTGCACGGAAAGTTTTTGGACCTTAAGTTTCCTGGTAGATGAGTTGGATGTAGATTTTAGATTTAGATTACAATTATGAAACGTATCGTATACGAATGCAGATTTCCCCAGAAATGTTATAAAACGTACGACGCCATTTTGAATTACATCTTTATTATTGTATGCAAGTTGGTAGTGGTCATTTCGAAGTGATAACTACATTTTATTTTGCAATTTCGAATAATTGTTACTGTGACGAAGTAGGCTTTGCAAATCCATTTAAATCGAGTTTTTTCTGGCACTCGTGATCGGATTTGAAAAATGAACAGTCCTGGAAACAGGATGATCATGCGTATCGAACTATCTCTTTCCATTTAATTGGGGGTGACATTCACCCCCTTTTCAGGGTTGAAGTTATCTAAATAGTATTATTTAAAATTAAAATTGACGTGTTAATCGAGCATTTCTGGCAAAACAGTCGTTAAGCAACCAATATTGGCATTGACTGTGTTCAGTGAGCCACCCTGTATACTATACGGTGTATAGTATAGTGTGGTATGGAATACCCCCCAGAACAGGAAGATCACTAACCCTTTCACGAATACAACTAAAATTGTAGGTGTTAGGAAAAGGTAATCGATTCTTCCGGTGTGCTGGTGGGGGTATTTTTCCCTATATCACGCACCATTTTTTTTTAAATTACCATTTTCCTTGCCTCACTACTTAAGACATGAGGGAAAGTAATTCTTCCTAATCACACGTGAAGCAGGTTCCTGAAGTGAAACCTTGACACCCTTTTTTTGGGAATTCGTTGTTTGGACTACTTCCGCAAGGTTCACCACATTTTTTAGAACGAAATGCCACTTTTCCTTTGCGACAGACTGTCGGTAAAATATCCATTCATTCCATATGAAACTTTCTTACTTTCAAAATATGAAAGATCAAGAAACTTTCTGCATCTCAATGGGTAGGCTGTGATGCAACACACGTTGAGTGCACCTTCACATAATTTATAAAAATTCGAAGATGCCGCAACTCAAATTTGAAACAGAGTGCTGACGAAATAAAATTAAATCAAAGCTCGTCGACGTAATTAAAATTCATAGATGTAACGGTGTTAGATAAGTTTTAATAAGAGGACCACCAAGACTGTATCTCTCGCGGTACGATTTTCCCGTACCTTTTGTAAATTACGTACTCTCATATACGAGAAATATGCAAATCGTGTTGGTTACTTCCTACAGGTGTTCATCAACATGCAGAAACGCCTGTCACTTGAGGAATTGCAACACGACAATGCTGTCAGCGGTAGGAAAAAAAACGCATTCCTTTCGAGCCACCGCCTGATAATCTCCTTAAACAGAAAGGACGAGATAAGGCGGTGTCTTACCCCGATAACCTTTTCATATTGAAACAATTGACGGGCTCTCTGGAGACGTTTAATCCAAACGCTAACCGAAGATTATACAGATTGAAGGGCGCAGATAAAGTCGCTGGGCGTAAACTGAGACGCTGCAGAAATAACAATGCATCGGGCGTGGAAGTTTCGATTTCACTTTAAAAATAATCACTTACCACCCAACTAGAGAGTCCAAGAATAAATTTAATTCCATTGACGATTTGACAACTTAAATCCAGTTTATTTTGGGCTTTATGAATGCTTAGGATTCCTCCCTCTTGTAATTGAAGAACGTTCAACGCTCCACACAACATCCAATACGTTTTTTGTTTTATTGTGTTTATAATCTGACAAATCCGATTGCCTTTTTGTATGACATTTAAGTAGATGAGATCCTTGATGGCGTTAAAAGCCCTTATATTATTGGAATGGGTCGTCCTTGTGCACTTTGGGTGACTCTTCGTAGTTGCAAACAGTATACTGGGTAGGTGGAGTGTGAGTGTGAATTGTTCAAATTTTTCAGACACTTTATGAAGAAAAAAAGCAATAAGGATGTAAAAATATGCCCGCCATACAAGAACAGTTTAGAATACTACATGTTTAATTTAATCACGTGCAAATATACCGATGTGTAGTCTGGGAGATTAGGAAAATTAGCACAGATGCTCTTTAAACATTCCTCTTCAAGTTCTGACGTCCAACGTCAAAGAATCAACAATGTCACCATATAACAAAACAATACATGGCCTACTAGATTGATTTATTGTTAATTTTAATATTGCCCAAAACTATTAATTATATAATAAATTAACCCCCATTGTCAGTGGGCGCGAATTTCGTAACACCCTGCATACGAGGCTGCCTTTTTTTGTTGGTGATAATGTTGATACAAATTGGAACTGGGGGATGACCTTTTTGCGACCTTTTCAGGACATAACCACACAAAACGCGAATTAGACACCGATAATGCTACGCGAACTATGGAAGAAGTTTGTTATTCCTTGCATATATCAAAGCCGGCACTGTAGGGGCACAAACTCGCGTTTTTTATGTCCTAATTTTTCATAAGTTTTCCATCGTGCTGGTTTATGCTGTATTTTAAACACTTGTAATGTTGTAGATTTACCTACAACGAAATTTCGAGAAAATTTAAAAATTACATCTGAAATTACAGCTACCGTTACACTCTTGTACCGTCTTGAAGACCAAATTTTAAGTTTTTGATTACCAATTGAAATGTGAAATTTCATTTTTTTTGTCCAGCTTTCAACTTTTGTATTTTAACATCAGTTTGAAAATACGTACTTTGTATAGTAAAAATTAAAGGTATCAAGCGAAAATTTAATAACCTAATAAAAGCTCCGAGATTTAAACCTACATACGAATCGCGACTTATACGTATACTTTTAATGTGTCTGTCAATTCCAAAATGTTGAAACTTTTTAACTTCAAGCTAAAATTTTCCCTTCATCTTTTATTGAAATTTGAAGCATTCTAATTTCACAATTGAAATTTCCTTAAAACTACGGATGTTCTCCAAACATCATCGCTGAAAATCGTCAGACTTGTCAGTTGTTTGTACCTGCATTTTCAAAATGCTTCAAAATGTATAATGAAGGGTTTGAAATTTAAAATGCCATTTAACGTCCAAATTCGGAAGCTTTTGACTTTCAAGTCAATTTACAAGAAACATTTCAAAATCAAATTCATCTACGGGTCACTAGATTAGATGTTAAAATTTTTCTTGTAAATTTATGTAAAAGTCGTTATTTTTCTTTTTTTGTCCTTTATCTCATTCTGTAAAAAAACAATATGGCGTCCATAAGAAATAAAAAAGCCTGTAGCTTCTACATCTAGCATGCCATGAAATTTCTGATAAGATTCAGATTCTCTGAAAAAAAGTGCCCATAGAAGGTGTTAAAACCGTCCATTTCCGACCGTTCAAAACGAAATTTGACGTTTTCCGTTTTCCGGTTTCAACAATTTCTCAAAAATTTCAAATGCGTTTCTTTTATTCATAAAAAGGGGAAACTTATCCCCCGAATTTAACCTACACCGCATCTCTCACCGTTACGGAGATTCCAATGGTTAGCCACGATTTTGAACGACCCTGTATAATAGAGGAATTTCAAAGGAAGTATTTCAAAAATATTCCTGGTAGTATATAGAAGAGTGTTTTAAGAACATATTAAGTATTTTCTAAATTTTAATAGCATAGGGTATTTAAGTGCCCCCTTGGTTATGCTGTTAGGAGTAGGGAAGTATTCTCAGTTGTCAGGTAAAATCAAATAAGGGATTAAATATTCGCGTCTTTTCCACATTTTTGATGAATAAATATACAAGGTGTTTTTTGGGAACTTTTTGGAAAAGTGAAATAGTTAGGTTTTTGAAAATTTGTACTTAGGCCAAATCGATGTAAAATCGTCGACTATGATTTTATGACAATCGAATTTTAATCCAATCTAGTGACACTAATCCGTCACCTGTTATAGGTTAACAGAAGTTTTTCAATAATCGGAAAATTACTCGCAGTGGTTTCACGCAAGAACACTGGAACGAAATTGTTTAAATTTTGGAAGCTTTGTACCCTTACCTAGAGCAAAACTTATTGTTGAAAATAATAATATTATAATGTTAGGGATCAGGAAGATGATAATTTTTTTGGGAACATTATTTGGTCAGATTTAATAAAAACGACATGTTTAATCGCCATAACTCACATTATTGGTGCGATAAATCCTTTTTTGAATCGAGAAGTACACTTCCAAGAGTGCTGGAGTTTTAATGTGTTTTGTGCGTTGAAAAAGAACACGGTTTTGTGTTTACATGTGTAAATTTGAATGCAAAACGTTACCTATTTGGAAAATTTATGTAATATTGTTGATCCTGCAACAGAAGATCTGCCTCTGCAGGAATATGTTGCTATGTATTACCAACAAGATGGTGCCCCTGCACATAACGCATTTCCAAGTTTTTAGATGCCACTTTTCCAGAGAACTGGATCGGAAACCGCGAGTCATGTGTTTATGCTAGGCCTCCCACAACAAGAAAAGACATGATCTTAAGAGTAAGAAATGTACTGCAAGCCATTGAATCGCAAGTGATACAAAACTCTACAAGAGACCATTTAAGAAAAAGAATTGAAGTGTGTTTGAAACACGAAGGCGCTCATTTTAAGCATATGTTGAAGAAAAGGGGGCTCGAAAATAATTTGCTCATATTTTCATATAAGTTTATGTCAGTTTGTTTTCCAATTAGCTGATCACTTTGTTGTCTTTTTTATTAATTAATTATTTAGATTAAAATCAATGATATTAAAGAATCCTTTCTCTGATTTCTTTAAAATTCGATTGTCATAAAAGCATGGCCGACTAAAAAATCCGAAAAAAATTGTATCCATTCAATGAAACCGCAGTGGTTCCAGAATCTGTTAAAGATAACATCAAAATTTTGATTCTCTATCAAATGCAACAATATGAAAATGGTCATTTGATTTAAAAAAATAAAGTTTTAGTCTTAAAATTTCTTAAATTTGAATTTACACTTAACTTTTTTAAGTACTTAGACTAAAAGAAAGCCCTATTCTGTCTCTATGCACTAGTAGAATAGCGTTGCCATAAATACGACAGTTTTCAAGTAATCAAGGAACCGTGTGCATGCTCCATTTTTTAAAAATCAAAATAACTTAAAAACGATAAATTGTAGATATGGACATACTGGTTTGAAATGAACTGAAATTTCACGTAGAATCCAAAAATGCAATAAAAATAGGGGTTGCCATGTAAAATAATGAAGTGACTAGCTACTTCCGGTATTTCCGGAAGTGCCACCATATTGAAAATATTTTACACCGATTCGGCCGTCAGATTAACTCCTGAGTGAACATTTTCAAAAACCTACTATTTCACTTGGCCAGAAAAGTTTAACTAAAACTCCCAAAAAAACAACCTATTGCTAACTTCATACGTGCGGATATTATACAGCATCAAAATATTGATACAGACAGATTTAATGCGAATTGTTTTGTTATGTAAATGTTGCAGCAAAAAATCTGAGACTTCTTTTATGTAATGAAAACGCGGGGAACTTTATTTATCGCTCTTCATTTCCGAGTATACCTCGCAAATTATGGCGCAATGTTTTCAAAAGTTAATCGAAAATGTTTATTTGTTGATTTCTTTTGCACTCTGTTTTTCATGAAAAAGAGTTCAAGTTTTCTAAGTAAACTTCACTTAATATCGAACAGTTTTTGTTGTATAAAATATTTCAGATTAATTAATACTGTCGATTCTCAAGTTTATCTTCCCAAGATTTCTTAATGATCGCCTTATCTACGAAATTGGGAGATTCTGTTTGTGTGTGCGTTAAAGAACCGTGCCATTACCTACTTTCCATTTCCTCGTTTGATTTCACTTGATGTATTTCGATAATGCGCCCAGACTTCATTCTTTCACCTTTTTAGTCCAAGAAATTAACTTTTCGATTTTTTAATTGCAGATCCTCAGCAAGATGCAGGCGACGGGAGTCCCGCGACTACTACGGCCGGCCGACCAAATAACACAGAGTGACCAAAATACGAGTTAAATGGACGAAAGGAGGGCCTAGAGATTAAAAATGCGTGTGATTGTATTTAAATTATTTATTTGGCTACACGTCGCCATGACAGTTAACAGTATTGGGGATCAAAATGCGAACATTGAGTCAAAAAATGCATATATAGAGTCGGAATTAAAACTTAGAGGTGGCAAGAGCCATCAAAATCGTTACGCGTCGGTTTTGATGGCGAATAGTAGAAATAGTAAGAGTAGTTCGTCGACAACCCAAAGAATGCCTTGGTTGCATCAACCTTCAAATAGTAAATACAGTTACAATAATTTAAATTCGGTCCATTTGAGACATGCAAGATATCCAACCCTTAACTCCGTATGGACGAGGTTGGAAGAACTCCAAACGAGGCACGTCGTCGCGACCACGACGTCGACGACGACGACACCTTCACCAAAATACCAATACCAAAAATATTATAGGATGAGTGATAATTTATTGACTGAAAACTACGGTAGTGACGAACTGGATAGTAATGACGTCGACAACGACGATAACCTGCCAGATTACGATAGCTGGGTAAGTTTATGTTATAATCATTATTGAATGACGTCCTAATTAAAGCTAACTGACGGAACTAATTACTGTAGTTATCGAAAGGATTTATCCTTTTTCACGCAACGAAAATTTTAATGAGTGATTCGGTAAATTAGCACGCCAACAAGCAACTGATTAGTAAAAAATGTCAACATTGCCTTTCACTGTATTGATTATACTTTTTTTTATCTTTTAATGCTATTTTTTTTACAAACCACCCACGTGGTTATTGATTACAATATATTATGTCCAATTCTATCATCACTTAAAGCGATGCAAAGTTACTGTTTCGACATGGTTTCCAACACTGCTAGGAATTTCATAAAATGAGAACCGTGTAGATGTGTCTTTAAGACCATTGAAGTAATGAAATCAGGCAACTGTACGGTCATACGTGCGATGAATTGTAGGAAATGATTAAATGCCACTACAGATTACACAATAACTTTGTATTTTATTGATATTAGATGATGTTCTTCTAAAAAACGACATAAGGGGCTCCAAAATTTGAGCCTCTATCCTAAGCGAACAAACGTCTCCAACAGGCAAATTTTTAGGAGCGCCAAAAACCAAATTTGGAAATAATTCTACAGTACTATCGTGGAAAAATTAAATAACCTCTTCGAATTGAAGTTGGAATGTTACGCACAGTTTTACCAACTTAAAAGTAATCATGAAATATGGTGTAACATATAACCTCACATTTCGACGAAATCATGTGAACTTTGCATTAAGATTGTGGAGGCTTCTCCCGCAAATTTTGTTGTTGAAAACGCTTAATTAAGGTGCCCTCTAGCCATTTTTATCAATTTCATGATCGTACCTGGGGGGATTAACGCCACGTAACCGTTAGATTCTCTGAAACACGATTCAGTGGTTTTTAGATGTTTGTATATTGAATTTCATTGTTTAAACTGTAAAATAAACTAAACGTTATTTGAAATTGATGTCATTTACTATTTAAAAAAAGGACTACATTTTTCTAAAAATTAAACAGATAGGTATTTGTTTGTAATTCAAACTAAAGATATTATACTTTGTTTCAATAACACTTTATAAATCTCATAATTGATATATTAGATTTTTGCTCGGATTTTTGTGTAATTTTATTTTGACGATTGTATGTAACTTTTTTCGGTTACTTATACATAATAAAAGTTATTATTATTATTATTATAAAACATATTTTACTACTAATTAAATTAATTTGAGCAAATTAGGAAAAAGAAAATCGAATCGCATTAACACAATGCGTAAAAATATTGCATATTTCCAGAAATAAATTTTGGTTGGTGTATAAAATGCTTTTAATTGGTTGTAGTGGGAGGGGAGGGGGGAGGCGGCGATTTCGAGGGGTCCATAGGCACAAAATATGTAGATCTGCCCCTACTTGCCCCATCATTGTGTACTTATATACTGTAAGCAACAAATTTTGTACCATTACATTTAACCGCCACTATCAAATCAATTTTGGAGTTGCAATTTAACCACAGTATACAAATTTTCATGCCATAATTTTGTACTCTCTTTGTACTACTTTGTATACTGTAAGAAACTACTGTTGTATCAATACTTTTTAACCGCTAGGATCAAATCTTAATCAACTTAACGTTCCAACTCCGTGCATAAAAGAACATTTATAAAACTCTAGTGCCATGATTTTGTACCTACTTATTTTGTACTAATTTGTATCGTAAATTCGTAAGCATCAAATTTTGTGGCAATACGTTTCAACCGCTATACGATATTGAGGACACAACTTAGTTAAAACCGTATTATATAAATTCACCCAAAATTTGTACCATAATTATGCACTAATTTGTATCGTTATAAGCAAATTTATGTACCCACGTAATTTTCCCTTTTTTCAATTTTTCTTTTTATTTATTTACTAGCAGTCCCCGCGAACTTCGTACCGCTTTTGGGTATTTACCCCATTTTTCCGTTTTTTTTCCGTGCCGAGGTGCTGATGTGTTGCAAAATCACACTGTGCACATTTTAAATATTTAAAAGTATTGTGAGTTAACACTACTTACTAATTATATGAATAGAGAGGGTTGCGTGATCTTTCGTATGGTACAGTAGTACACTGTGCACATTTTAAATCCTTTGAGGACTTGTGCCTTACGAAATGTTACTTCAGAATATGTTGATGATTTGTTGCAAAATTACAATGTGTACATTTTAAATATTTTGAAGTGTTACATATTTTTAAGTGCCACACTGTACACTCGTTAAGTATTTAGAAGTGTTGTGAGTTAACATGTGATTTCTCATCAGTTGCGCAATCACACTGTGCACATTTTAAATCTATTGAGGACGTGTTAGGAGATGTTTCCACGTGAGCTTTGTTTCAAGGTATACCTAAATACTGAACGCGCTCCTCGTTGGCTTGCTATTAAATGATGTGACCGTTAAAATTGTGATTTATAATAATAATAAAGTTTATTTGAGCTTTAAAAATAAAACAAAACAAAAATACAACAACGAAAAAGAAAAAGTAGCTCAAAAAAGGAATGAATTCGGCAATGCCGTTTTTCAATTCACCCTTTAAAACCAAAAAAATCACCTCACAAAACTAAAAATTATTGCTTAGATAAAGTTCTTTAGTCGATTTTGCGAACTGTATATAATTCTTGTTAAGTTTATCCAACATACAATTTAACAGGGACGGTGTATATTTCTGGTGGAATTCGTATTAATGCGAATCAGGGCCGTATCAAGGCTGTGGCGAGATGCGCAAAATTGACCATGAAAAATATTTATGTAGATTAGTGTATTTTTTAGGGACAAAAATGTCACGAGATTATTAAAAGTTACTATACTTACTGTGACTGTGGAAAGTCTGGTTCTAGTTCTAGTAATAGAGTGTCTCCAAGATAAGAAGGAACAGCGTGGGAAAATTGAAAACCATAGGAGATACACAGGTTAAATAAGAAAAAGTTGCGTATTTTAGAGCTTTCAGGGTGTTTGAAAATTTCGGAAATTCCGATCATTTCCGAAGATATTTGAAAAAAAGGGAAATTAATCATATTTGTATTCATTTTTTTCTGGCCCTGTTTGAACAGCTGTAAAGAAACAAATACACTTCCTAATGGGAACTTTTTAAACTATACAAGATGGCGCCCACAGATTTTCACTGCGACGTTTCGTCTTTGAGAAACTATCATCAACTTAATATTTTTGTACGTACCGGAAAAAAAGTACTGTATTGAGTAGCATTTTTTTATTACGAATACAACGATGTATGACACAATATGATTCTCTATTGTCATTTAAAGGACCATTTTGTTAATGCCTGCTACACCAAAATGTTAACAATTGTTTATTATTGAAGTCAGAATTTAACATTTTGGTTTAGTAGGCGTTGACAACATGTCAAAATAATTATTAATAATTTCTGTAAATAACCTACCTAATAAAGAGTCATTTATTGTGCCATACGTCACTGTATTCGTAATAAAAAATACCATTTAATACTACTCAAAATCTGGAGGCACCATCTTGTAGAACTGAAAAAGTTCCTGCGAAGAAGTGCTATTTGTTTTTTGTAATCTTTTCAAACAAGGACAGAAAAAAATAAAAACGAATATGGTTAATTTCCGTTTTTTTCGAGTATCTTCGGAACTGATCGGAATTTCCGAATTTTAAAAACATAATTTCTCTATGCTGTTCATTCTTATCTTGGACACACTGCGTTTTGTCTTTCCTCCATGTTTTAAAGAAGCGAAATTCTCGCATCAAAAAAATTTAAACCTTCAATTTTGTAAAATTTTCGCCAAGGTCGCGGCCATATCTAGAGACGGCCCTGATGTGAATAGTAATTGTTGTAATTAATCATAGATTCAATTTCTTGAACCATCTACTGAGATTAGTGCTGGCGTCTTGTAGTTCAGCAATAGCAATTTCCAAGACTGTGTTGCTGCATAAATTGCAAGGTCTGGCTTGACGATAGGGAAGTCCCGCATTAAGATATTGAAAAGGATTGGGCCTAGGATACTACCCTGAGAGACCCCTGCATGTTTATTTTAGATAGATGATGGGAATGCATGAATTTTCACTGCGAAGCTGCGATTTTCTAGGAAGGAGAATAGTATGGATTTGAAGTAGTGAGATTTCAAAGACTTGAGATGTCAATAAACAGGATTGCTGTAAATTGTTTGAGTTCGTGATCTCCTCCAATGGCCTCAACGGCACGTTGCAGTTGTTGAATGGTGAAGTAACCGAATTGAATGTAATTTTGCACTTCTTCAATAAGTCGAGAATGAATTACTCATTTCTAGGAGCTTCGAAAGAGTTGATAGTAAGTCGTTGATATATTTTTTTTCGGATTCTGGTTGTTATGTAAGTAAATTTGAGTACAAAATGGAGGTATAAAAATTGGCATTAGGGATTGTGGTGTTGGGTCGCAACCACAACATACGAGTATACAGGGTGGTGACTTGCGTAGCGCATCATAGGGATTTCAATGTAAAATTCATAACATGCGATTATTGGCTCCCCAAATTATTTTAGAGCAAAAATGTATTAAAGTTTTTTGTAGAAAAAAATTTTGTACGCCAATCAACCGTATTACTTTTCAATTCTTTGCGTAATAAAGACGGAAAATTGGAAAAATAAAACCCCCATCTTTTTCAATAATCTGTGATGCCATGGAATTTTATAATACAAAAACTACGCCAATATCCGTCATGCCATGGAATGTCTGCTATAAAACAAATCAAATTCTATCAAAAAGTATTATATTTAGAACAGCGAATTCAACATAAAGAAATACCAAATTACTAAAAACGGTTTCCTAATATAACAATTTACAATAAACGTTCGAATAAGTCACCACTAACTGCAAGACAGTAACCAAGTCGATCATAAAATCCATTTCGAACTGCTGCTAATTGATATCTGGATATCTTTTTGTTTTAGAAAATTCCATGGCATCGCAGGATTATTAAAAAAGATGCGGGTTTTATTTTTCCAATTTT